TCAGGGTGCCTGAGGGAGGGACATCAGTCTCCAGCTTTGTATCTCCAGTGATAAGCAATACCATGCCTGGAAAATGAGCCGTGCTTACTAAATATTTAAATAATGGCTTAAAATCATGTATAAATGAGAAAATAAGTATTTTTGGTTTGAGTTCTGACTGATTAAAATTTATGGTTGTTTTTACACCTTCATTTCTATCCATATCACTCCATTAGTTTCTTTTTAAATATTTATTTATTTATTAATTATGTATACAATATTCTGTCTGTGTGTATATCTGCAGGCCAGAAGAGGGCACCAGACCTCATTACAGATGGTTGTGAGCCACCATGTGGTTGCTGGGAATTGAACTCAGGACCTTTGGAAGAGCAGGCAATGCTCTTAACCACTGAGCCATCTCTCCAGCCCCCACTCCATTAGTTTCTTAAGTGAAGCAATTATTACAATGTGAAAAATATAGCATTTCAGACTTTTTAAAGCATTTTTTATGATACTTCTTGCAGCTATGATAAAAAAAATATCTCTATAAGTATGCTAGTCTCTACAGTTGTGTCATTACAAAATACTGTTTTTTTCCGCTTTTGTTTTGTTTTTGTGGTATTGAAAATTGAACCCAGGGCCGGAGAGATGGCTCAGCGGTTAAGAGCACTGACTGTTCTTCTAGAGGTCCTGAGTTCAATTCCCAGCAACCACATGGTGGTTCACAACCCTCTGTAATGAGATATGGCCCCCTCTTTGGACCCACAGGCATACATGCAGGTAGAACACTGCATACACAATCAATCAATCAGTCAATCAATCAATCTTTAAGTGGGGGGAAAAGATTGAACCCAGGTCTCCTGCACTCCACTACTGAGCCACATCCTCAGCTTTCAGATTGTTCTGCTGTTTAAAGTCCGAATCTGTGATGGACAAGTTCCGTGTCCCATGGTAATGGAAGGCTGCCTATTAGCGTTGGTTCCACAACTCAAGTTGACGTATGTTGGCTTCTGCCAGCCTAAATATGCCTTCAACTCTACGCAGTTGTTAAAGCTAGCTTGTAGTTAGCTTAAAAATGTTTTGGGAGCCATCAGAATGGCTCAGCTGGTAAAACGCTTGCCACCTTAGCCTGGCAACCTGAGTTCAGTCCCCAGAGTCTATGTAAAAGACAGAAGGAGAGGACTGACTCCACAGACTTTTCCTCTGCCCTGTACACATGATAATAATAAATAAATACAGGTAATATTTTCCTCCAAAAACTCATAAAAATGCCATTTCAGACTAAATATCAAAAATTTCTTAAGTTATAAACTCAATGGGTGCGAAATATTTACATATTAAACAACAGAAAATACAAAGTACTTATTGGAAATGATGAAGTTGGAAATTGTAGCAATGAGAATCTATTGCTAAATTATTTTATTTGTTATTTAAATGCTGTTTTTAGTGACGCTAGATTTCTGAGAAAGCAGGGATGTGAAAATGAGATAGAATAGTAGTTGTTAATATCAAGAATTAGGATAACAGGTGATGATGAACAGAAATTCACTTTTAGGAAAAAGAATAATGAGATTACATTCAACAATGGAGATAGCCAGTGTTTTCCCAGTGGTAATTATAGCTGTGTTGTTTTTGCTTAGTGTATCAGTGAAGTGATTAAACATTGAAGACCTTGTACAGAACAAAAAGCTTAATGTTGGGTGAAAAATATTATTTGTAGAGAGTGGAGAGATGGCTCAGTGGTTAAGAGCTCTGGCTTCTCTTCCAGAGGAGCTGGGTCCAATTCCTAGCACCCATATGACAGCTCACAGTTGCCTGTAACTCCAGGGAACCCAACACCCTCATATGGACATGCATTCAGGAAAAGCACCAATGCACATCAAATAAAAATAAAATAAAATTTGTTTGTATTTGCCTCATACTGCTACATAACTTGAAAGAGGATTGATTCTCTAGTACCCTTTGCAGGTAATTGTGGCTCTGTCGTGTGTTGTCTGGAGAGTCCATAGTACTCTCATGAGAGAACAAGACTGAAAGACAATGATACTCTAAGGAGGATGGAGATGATTTTGCTCTGTGGACTCCCTAAAAATAAATGCTTAAGCACCTGTCAGGGGTGTCCTGGCCATGCTTTGAGAGCTACTTTCTGAGCCTCGAGAGGCAAAACCAACCTAGAACTATTTTTTTGTTGTGTTTTTCGAGACAGGGTTTCTCTGTGGTTTTGGAGCCTGTCCTGGAACTAGCTCTTATAGACAGACCAGTCTGGCCTCGAACTCACAGAGATCCGCCTGCCTCTGCCTTCCGAGTGCTGGGATTAAAGGCTTGCGCCACCACCGCCCGGCCCAACCTAGAACTATTAAGTGTGCTCCTCATCACAGAGCAGAGCCCAGGACTGTACTCTTGAGAGTTTATTCCTCTGGCTTTTTGTGAACTTTTAGGACCTGGGGAAGCTTTGGAGAGTGAATTGTGTGTATTTATTTATGAGGGTCTGCTAGATATCAAAAATACACATTTGATATTGACAATTAAAAATATGGTAAATCAAAACCTTGGGGAAAAGAGCATTACTATTATGAGTGAGTTTGTAAAAATGTGATAGTTAACAAATATATAACGATACAGAATTGTAAGCATTAAATTTGCAATAGAGGATAAGATACATTTTAAGTTTTGTTAGCCCTACCTGGGATTCAGGGATTGAACTAAAGCTGCCAAGTCTGTATGGTAAGTAGCTTTACTAGCTGAGCGCCTTTTGGTGACCGGGTCTTTCTATGAAGGCCAGGCTGGCCATGAACTGGGATTGCAGGTATGCATCCCAGTAACTACCACAGTTACTTGAAACATGCTTTGGGCTTAATTTTGGTGGTTGTTGTTTTTTTCTTCCCCCACATCTATGTGGAGGTGTTTCTGTATCTGGCCCCTCAGCCATTTGGGTCCTTTTCGCTTTTTAATGTTGTCTCTTCATTCCTCCCAGATCTACCTGGGTCTCAGAGACAGCAGGAACTTGTGTGTCTTAGAGAGTGTGCACTGGATAACATTTTTGTGGGGTTTCTGAGCACACTTCTCTCTTTACTGGCCAGCAGTGTGCAGTGGGGTGGAGAGGCTGTGGGCATGACGCCCCTTGCTCACTTCTGCTTCTTCACGCCCCACCTTGATGCCCTAGGCCTGTCTTCCCTTCAGTGCGAGCCACTTTTTCTTTCCCACTCGGCCTCTACTTTGCCTTCCTTTTCTATTTGCCTTCTAGGTTCTTCTTCAGAGATGTATGTCCTCGGTCAGAGTGACTTCCAGTTAATGTATTTAGGAGTCAAGATATTCATAGTTGCCAAAAGGCCCAGGAGTGAATGTGTGCTTTTGTATTTGGTGTGACAGGAGTGGAGTCCTATGGGCAGATGCCACAGTGGACGATCCTGGCCTCTTCTGTCTTAAGCTCCCTGGGGTCACCACTTCTTGCTTGGGAGAAAGTAGGATGAAATTGTGTCTTCTTCTTTTTTCTTTTCTTTCTTTCTTTCTTTCTTTTTTTTTTTTTTGCTTTGCCCTATCTACTCCTATACCCCGTCTTCATGTGCAGTGTCTTTTTTTTTTTTTTTTTAATTCTGGTGCTGAAGGTCACACTCGGGACCTTACACATTTAGACAGGTGCTGTATCTCCTAGCTGTACTTCCAGTCTCTACCTCATCTTCACATTGCTGGACCAGGGCTCAGAAAATCTCCTTCAGGGTCGTATAGCTCTGTGTGCTGCTCTTTGTCTCTGGTTTTTCTTCTTTAAAAAATTGTGTGTGTGTATATCTGTGTGTGCGTGTGTGTACGCACGTGCAGGAATGCTTGCCCATGCCATGGCATTCATAGAGGTCGGAGTACAGCTCTGGTTCTCTCCTTTCACTTCACATGAGTTCTGGTATCAAACTCAGGTCTCCGGGCTTGCTGGAGGAGCGCCTTCCCCTGAAGAGCCAACTCACTGGCCCTTGCTTTATTTGAGACTGGGTCTCGTCTTAGGGATCAGGCTGACGTGGAACTTGTGATCCTCCTGCCTCAGACTTCCAGCTGCTGGAATTATAGGTGTTGTCACCCCTCCTGGATTTCTGCTGTCCCTCCGAGTGCTGTTTGATGTGACCCTGTGAGTGTGTGTTATCACAGCAGGCTTCCTGTTACGTTGCATGACACTGCGTCCAGTCCCTTTTCCTCTCTCTTTAGAACTGGATGGGTATTTTTGTGGCTTAGAAGAAATAAAAAGAAAATTTATTAATTGGAAATACTGCTTCAGTTTTTTTCTGTCTGTATCATCTAACTGTACTTTTGTCTTCAGACTGTTTTCTGGTTGTCTGTGGGGAGCATAATGCTGTCAATGGTCCACATGGTGGCAGCTATCTGTTGAAAGAGAAAAGTGCAGCCTAGTGGGAGAAGGAGTCCAGATATATGTGCCTTACCTTGCTTTGTTATTTATTCCAACGGTTACTTGTTATTTACTTTATTATTTTATGTGTATGGGTGTTTTGCCTGTATATATGTGAAGCCATCTGTCCAGCTACCCAACAGTTATTTATTAAATGCCAACTGTGTACCAGATGCTGCTGAGAATGCTGAAAATATGGCTCCTAAACAGGCATCCTTAGTTTCTGTTGCTGTAGATGTTTTATTAGCAGGAATATGATGTCTGTCGCCCTCACAGGACAACGGGACTGGGGATTGGAAGAACACTGGGCTCTGGCTGGCTCTGACTTGGGTGGGATGTGACCAGCCATTTAAATGCTTTGTTCCTTTTTCTTACTCTCAGTGAAGGAGGTCAAGACACCTAACAGCTACTTTTAGAGGCGGAATCATGCCTGTAGAGATGCATTTTCAATAGAAGTAGTGTGTGTATATTAAAATGTGTGTAATTGTGAGTGTGATAATGTAAAATATTTTGCTATAAAATCTTAGATGCAGTTTATTCCTACTTGGGTGGGAGAATCTTAAATTAATCTAGAGGTTTAAAGACACTTGCAAGATATAAAGTATCTTTGTTTTTTTTTTTCTCTTCACAGAAGAAGATAATGCTGAATATGTTTTTAGATACCATGATGGCCGATCCTCCTCCCCAGTGCCTTGTCTGGCTACCTCTCATGCACAGGCTTGCCCATGTGGAGAATGGTGAGCATGGCTTGATCCTTTGTCCCTTAGGTCACAGGGAGGAGGAAGCAGTTTGCGGTATTCTGAGCTATTATTGTGAAAAATTGAAATTGACGTTTGTTGGCACGTCATCCTTTGAACTTGTGGCTTTTGTTTTCGGGAGGAGAGTATTTATTTCATAACAAAAGCAGGAGTCTTGTCACTTACATAGGATTCTGAGGAATAAGAAAACCTGGTTGGTATGGGCACATTTTTTTTTCACCCTGAGATTGCTTGCATTTACCCGATGTGGTCAGGAATTTCTTTTTTTCACCCCTTTTGGTTTATCAGAATCGTAGCTTTAGAAAGTTGGAGAGCTCTGCAGTATTGGCCACCAAAACTCTAGTCAAATTTGGGTCATTAAAACATTGCTAAGATAAAATTTAGTTCTGGACCTTTTTTTCCTTTATTTTTACTGATTTATTTCTTGTTTGTTTGTGTGTAGTATTTGTGTGTACATTTAGCATGTGGAGGACATTGGGTGTCTTTCATTATCTTTTGAGACATACTCTCAGTGAAACCAGAACTTACCAGCTGGCCAGATTTTGTTTTCCTCGATGCTGACATTATTTTGTCCCCTGTCCCTCTTCTTCCTGGTCACCAGTTTTCCATCCTGTGGAGTGCTCCTACTGTCACTGCGAGAGCATGATGGGCTTCCGGTACCGCTGCCAGCAGTGCCACAATTATCAGCTCTGCCAGAACTGCTTTTGGCGAGGCCATGCCAGTGGCACTCACAGCAACCAGCACCAGATGAAGGAGCATTCCTCTTGGGTAACTAACTGCTTGTCTCTGATTGTGTACTCTCAACTGTTTACCTGGCTCGTATGTAACAGTAAGAGTACTTGGTCTAGTGGCCTGCATGTGCCCTGCCCAATACGGATGTGGTGTCGGGAAATCTTCATGTCCGCATGGCTGCTGGGGTTGCAGTTGCATTGTTGCTCCTCCCTGGACTTTAAAAGCAGACTGAGGTACAGGTGTTAGCTGCTTTTAAAATGGCCCTTTGCAAAGTAAAAAAGTAAATTTCTTCTGATCTGAAAAATTACACAAAAGGGATCTTCCTAGAGATTATTCCCTTGAGCCTTCAGTTGGGTTTAAAGCCCTTCTTTGAGTAGTTTCCCTTGCAGGCTGATGTGTTTATATGCTGCAGAAAAAGTGGCATGTAACACCGGAGTCACATATGTTTATCCTTTAGATTGGAGAGAGACTGTGTTTTATAACCATTGCCACATTGCTCTTCTTAGCTTCAAAAGTAGCTTTTAAATAGTACTTGGGTGATGGCCAAGCACGGTGGTGCACACCTTTAACCCCAGTACTGAAGGGGCAAAGCAGAAAGATCTCTGAGTTACAGCCTGGTCTGCATAGTGAGATCCTGTCTTGAAATGAAGCAAATAAAACAAGCAAAAACCAAAATTTGAGTTGAGATTGACATCTGCTCTTCCTGGTGTGTTTGTAAATCATGTAATATGATCTCATTAAGTATTTTTCTTCACATCTTTTGATTTATTTCTAATTTTGTTGTTCACTTGTTTAACTAAATTGTAGAAGAGCACACAGAGCCAGAAGTATGGCTCCAGACCTGGGGTCTTTCCCTGGTACCTCCTGGACTACAGATATTAAAAGACCTTAATAACTGGGTTTCCTTACCCCTTTATTTTTCCTAGAATTCAACCAAGGAAAAATAAACAAACCAACAGAAGGGAAAGAAAAATACCAAGTGTCAACCCCTGTGTACACTTGACTGTATTGCCAGAACATGTGATGCTGTGTTAGAAACATAATCGTATCTGTCTCAGTCAGAGCTAACTACAAAACCTTGTTCACTGTCCACTTGTGCATTCCAGTGCTATGTTTTGGTTTAAGGTCATTTAAAAAATTTTTTTTTTTTTTGGTTTTTCGAGACAGGTTTTGGAGCCTGTCCTGGAACTAGCTCTTGTAGACCAGGCTGGTCTCGAACTCACAGAGATCCTCCTGCCTCTGACTCCCGAGTGCTGGGATTAAAGGCATGCGCCACCACCGCCTGGCTAAAAAAAATTTTAAGTGAAAACCCCTCCAGTAATTTTATTTTATTTTTTAAAATATTTCTTTATTTATTTTATTATGTTATATACTGTCTGTGTGTATGTCTGCAGGCCAGAAGAGGGCACCAGATCTCATTACAGATGGTTGTGAGCCACCATGTGGTTGCTGGGAATTGAACTCAGGACCTTTGAAAGAGCAGGCAATGCTCTTAACCGCTGAGCCATCTCTCCAGCCCCCCTCCAGTAATTTTAAAAAATAATATTTTATGGTTTATTTATCTTTATTTTATGTACATTGGTATGAAGGTGTCAGATCCCCTGGAACTGGATCTTCATACTATTGTGAGCTGCCATGGGGATGCTGGGAATTGAACCTGGGTCCTCCGGAAGAGCAGTCAGTGCTCTTAACCGCTGAGCCATCTCTCCAGCACCTAAAAAATATTATTAAATAAGATAACTTGATTTCCTGTTTTTCTTTTCCTGTGTAAAGCACTATAGCCCACTATGCTGATTGGTTGATCAACTTGTTTTCTGTGGGTTTTAGTTTAGAGTCCTGCCTGAACTGGGCAGGTTTTGCTCCATCACTTTTTATGGTGATTTGGTCTGCTGGCGTGCTTCTTGGGAGAATTTCATTTGAATGTTGGTGTGTGGGGAGAAAGGGGCTTCTTAATCCCTTAGTTTGAACTTGCTCATTTACCCAGTTTATAATCTTTTCAAAAGTATGGATTTTGTGTTTATTTAAAGATCAGTAATTGAATACTGCTTTATGGTTTGCAAAAGAACCTTTCATATACTCTTTGAATTTTTTCTTTGAGTTACAGCATACATACGGAAAAGTACAAGCCAGGCATGGTGATTTATGCCTGTAATACCAGTACTTGGAAGGCCGAGGCAGGAGGATTACCATGAGTTCAGGCCAGCCTGTGTTAATACCTTATCTTTCACCACCAAACAAACAGACAAAAAAGGTGCAGAATCCATAAATAAATTTTTACTTATTTGATCCTCACAATGCTATGAATATTTTCTTTTTAAATATTTCTCTTTTTTTATCTTTTCTGCATTTTTTCCTGCCTTATGAATTCCTTTATTTTTTATAGTAACTTAAGATTTTCAAAAATCGCCAGGCGGTGGTGGCGCAAGCCTTTAATCCCAGCACTCGGGGAGGCAGAGGCAGGAGGATCTCTGTGATTCGAGACCAGCCTGGTCTACAAGAGCTAGTTCCAGGACAGGCTCCAAAACCACAGAGAAACCCTGTCTCGAAAAACAAACAAACAAACAAACAAAAAAAAAGATTTTCAAAAATCTAGTATTATCAGCTTACATAGTTTTGACTCTGAATTTTGATGGATTGCATGCCTAGGGCTGGTTCATGGGTACCGACAGTTAGTATATGTGTCTATGTATAATTTGTTCTCAAAATTAAGAGTAGGTGCATCAACCAGGCCCTTTGAGGAGAATGTGGGTTAATTTTGAGGCCCAATAAAGGAATTTCCATGTAACAAAAAGATACATAATTATTTTTTTGGTGGAATGGCACTGAGCCTAAGGCCTTCCTTATGCATGCAAGGCAAGTGTTCTCCTACTGAGCCGTATCCCAACCGCTGTTATCAGTCTAATGGTGAGTTCTTGAATGTTTTCCACTGTCTGCACCAGAATTTGAAATGAATGCTTCTGTATTTGCAGCAACAGATTTTAGTTTGTTTGACTGGTTTGTTGAAGAAGTTACACTGTAGATTCAATATATGTATGTTTTAGTGTTTGTAAGGTTATTTTTTATTTTCCCAAAGCCCCTAATTTATTGTTTCATCTAAGTAAAGAAGCAGCAATTCAATGGATTTAGACCTCAGTGTATTTAATTAGCTTTCATTCCCCCCAAAAGTGCTGTATGGTAGTATACCCGATATCCCTCCTGTCTGAGCATCATTTGTTCATTTGAAAGACATTTTGAGCACTTACATATGTAGTTAGCACAGTGATACCTCCATGAACAAACCAGTCAAAGACTGTTGCCCTCTTGAAAATGTTTTAGAATATGAAAAACATTGCGAGGACTTGCTATGTCTTCGTTTTCTTACTCTGTTGGGTGTCTGGACTGCTTTCCACACCTCCTTCTCCAGCTTTATATGGGAAGAATACGTGACTAGTTCTCACCAGTGGAATGTGAACAGATGTGTGTCTTTCCCCAAGACAGTTAATGATTAGACTGTCTTCTCTGTCTCTACTTCCTCACTTCAGAGAACTCCATTAGGATCCTGTGGAAAGTTAAACTGTGGAGAAAAAAAAAAGTAACTGGACCTATCATGAATGGTGGGTAGAGAGGAGCATGTGCCAACCCCTTTGCCTGAGATGGGGGCAGGATAAGAACTGTGTTCCCATTGCTGTTGAGTTGACAGGACGATTGGCTGTTCAAGGCTCCCTTGAATAACTTAGCAAATGTCTGTCTCAAAATGAAATTTAAAAGCTCAGTGTTAGAGAACTTGCCTGGTATTTACAAGTAGGCTCAGTTTCCAGCACACACACACACACACACACACACACACACACACACACACACCAAAACAAATAGAAAACCCCTTGTTTTAAATAAAGTTTTCATTCCATAGTACTTAGTACTAGGAGTGCACAACTAGTAAAACCTTAAAAGTGTGTGATGTTCACGCCTTTAATCCCAGCACTCAGAAAGCAGAGGCAGGCGGATCTCTGTGAGTTTGAGGCCAGCCTGGACTACAGAGTGGGTTCCAGGACAGCCAGAGCTACACAGAAAAACCCAGTCTCGAAAAAATAAAACAAAACAAAATAAAAAAGAAAAAGGGTGTGGTGTTGGCTTGAGACACCAATGAACGGATAAGTCAAGTGATGGAGTAGAAAGAAATCATATGACATAACTGTAACCAAATTGGTAAATTTGTCATTAGGGTACTTGAAAGTAACTTCATACCAACTAAGCCCAGCGTTGGAAAGGATCACAGTGTGACTCTGTTGACAGTATAAGGTATTGCAGGAAAGAGATGGCTTCGGAAAGGATTGACTGGTTTGTAAGTAAAGAGTAAGAGAAAATCGAGAAAGCCCTGACAACTGGGGTGGTGTAAGGAGAAAGAGGCTGTCTTAGATGGTGTCAAGTAAGAGATGAGTGTATTTATAAAGCCTAGTAGACTTAACAGTTGAAAAGACAAAGGGCCATCTGTAGAGCTTCTGAGTGAAGGGTTGAGGTCCATGGAATCTACATGAGGACCGTTTTCACAGTGTCCCAAGAGATTCTGTTGTGCAGATAAGTCAGGACCTTGTTTCATGTGGCTTCTAGGTGGCTCCTGTCAGTTGAAAGTGAGAGCCGTGAAAAATACGTCAGCCCAGGAAAGAACTAGTTCCTGGCCGCAGAACTAATGGGGAACAAGTAGATCAAAGGACCACTGTGTTTCTAGGGAGTCATGTTGGCAACGAATCCATGAGCCTGAACTGAAAAGGCCTTTTATTTTTTGAGCTAGACAATCACTTTAGACAACCCAGAACTTGTTCTGATGCCAGTAAGGGGCAAGGATAGGTGGTGTGTTATAAAGGTTGTTTATCTTCAGAAGAAGAAGAGATATTGGGGGAAGGAAGAGACTCACAGCCAGGTGTGGTGGTGCGAAGCTCTAATCCCAGCACTGGGGTAGTAGAATAGGAAGTTTGAGGCCAGTCTGGTCTACATGATACCTTGTTAAAACAAAGAAACCAAAACCTGAGGAAAAGACAAAGACCAAGCACAAAGTTCCT